TATTATAAGGTATAAATAAATTAAAAAAAAAAAAAAAAAAGGGTCCAAAGTTAAAAAAAATTAATTTGTTTATAAAAAAAAAATTTTTTTTTTTACATTTCTTAAAAGTTGAAAGAAAACTAAAACTTTCATTCTTTGACAAGTTTTCTCTAAACTCAATATTTTCAGACTTATAAGCTACTGAAAATATGTCTACAGTTACAAATCCAAAATTACAAAAATTCATAACTCGAAAATTTGGGCGATTAAACAAAAATAAAAAAACACGTATTTCTTTTTTTCTATATAGATTGAGAAAAAAATATGTTTAACCGAATTCTCAAGGTCATAGGTAAATCTTGCGTGGAATTGCCCATATACATTTTGTTGGGAAAAAACCTCACCTTTATAAAAAAAAAATAAAAAATGTCCATTTGATAAAAAAATGAAATTTTATTTTTTAATTGAATTTTTCAAGGTCAAAATTTTTTTTAAAATTTGTTTACACCATTAGAAAGTGCTGAAAAACAGCAGAAAAACCTAAAATAGAAAACATCTTTTTGTTTGTTTTAAAGAAACTACAAATTTTTAAAGTTTTCCATGTAAATTTTTGACCCGGATCACTTGACGTGGAATGCCACATATATGATGGGGTCGGTACTATTTTGAAACAAAAATTTGTGTCAAGTTTGTTATATTATATAACTGCCCTCACAGCACCAGGATTTCAAGATAACTCAGGGATATCCAAATCGCCACAAACAAATCGATATCTCCAAAACGTATCTGGAATATCCGAAATATTCCGGTGCTGTGAGAGTGATGATATTGTTATTTTGTTTGTTGTACAACTGTTAAAATGAAAATCTTCATTTTGTACGACAAATATAAATCAACAAAAAAGCTATAAAAAAGGATTTTCAATATAAAATACTCTGAAATAAAGTTTTACATGCTTTATTAGTTTTAAATAGAAGAATAATATTTGAACTACCTTAATTCAAATTATTTATTTACATCCACAACTACCATATTAGGCTTTTTGTAACAGACAAAAAATTTCTTAAATAGAGTTGATTAATTTATTACTTTTTATTCCAATTAAATTCAACTTTATATAATGAATGATGGTATTAACATAAAATGCTCACACAATATATTCTTAAATTTTTTAAGTTTTAATTTATTTTTCATATTCTTACAATTATATTTTCAATGAAAAAGATTTCATGTAAGAATAACTTTTAAAGATAATTTTTAGAAAATTATTATATATGGAGCAATCAAATTAGTTTTTTTTTATTTTTAATTTATTTTACCAGTTGTACAAAATAACAGTATCTCCGATATTACAATAAAACAATCTTCAAAAAAATTGGGCCAAAATGATACACATCATTGTATTACATAATATGTAACATACAATATAATGTGAATTTGTAAAAGATTTAAATGCACCGATGCGATGCGAAATTTATTGAAATACATTTAACTTCATTTCTAATACACCTAATGACTAATTTTTCTTAAAAATCATTAACAAATTTTTTTTATGTTGTCTTCGGCAGCGGGCCCTTGGAGGGTACGGGCCCTGAAGCACGCGCTTCATGTGCTTCAAGGTTGTTCCGGCTCTGGTTTAATTATATTTTAGTCAATCCTTTTAGACTTTTTTGGTTTGGTTTTAATATAAGCCTTCGAAATTTTTACACGCACGTGGTGTCAACATTTTTACTATTTTAACCCGTCAGCGGTCGCGCCGTGAGAAAAAGTCTCACGCAACACTACTCGACCTATAGGGCGCTCTTAAAGTGCAAGTGAGACACTAAAAAAGGCGCGACTGCCGACGGGTTAACCAGTTGACTGTCGCTGACGCATATATGCGCAAAACTAAACTGGCCAAAAGTGTTCATGAAGCATTATGCGCAACTTAAAAAAGGTGGTTAAAAACTTCTTAAATGTTCCTGAAACCGGTTACTCGGAGGTTTTCGAGGTCGCTAATTACGAATATGACATTCGTTTTCCAAAATTCAAAATGGCGGATCCAATATGGCCGACAACAAAATAAAAAAAATGATCAGATTGACTTGGAACGTAATACTCGGGGGTTTTTGGGGTCGCTGATTACGAATCTGACATCAGTTTTTCGAAATTCAAAATGGCGGATCCAAGATGGCGGAAATTTTTTCAAAATTCGTCGAATTTTCATGAAACTTGTTACTCGGAGGTTTTAAGCGTCGCTGATTACGAATCTGTCATTAGTTCTTCAGGGTATTTATCGAAATTTGATTTCACCAAAAATTATCATACTGATGTCAGATTAACCAGTTTCAAACAAATTCAATAAATTTTAAAAAATTTTCCGCTATATTGAACCAGATATTTTGAATTTTGAAAAACTGATTTCAGATTCGTAATCAGTGACCCTGAAAATCCCCAAGTATTCAGTTTCAAGCCAATCTGATCAATTTTTTATTTCGTTGTCCGACATATTGGATCCGCCATTTTGAATTTTGGAAAACTAATATTAGATTCGTAATCAGCGACCCTAAAAACCCCCGAGTATTCAGTTTCAAGCCATTAAAATTAATTTTTTATTTTGTCGTCCGCCATATTGGATCCGCCATTTTGAATTTTGGAAAACTAATGTTAGATTCGTAATCAGCGACCCTTAAAACCTCCGAGTAACAAGTTTCAAGCAAATTCGACGAATTTTGAAAAAATTTCCGCCATCTTGGATCCGCCATTTTGAATTTCGAAAAACTGATGTCAGATTCGTAATCAGCGACCCTAGAAACCTTAGGGTACCAAGTTTCATAAAAATCCATTAAAAATTTTTTCAACACACTTTTGGCCGAAACAGTGGAAATCTCGTTGACAGCCAAGGGGTTAATTATAACATTACTGAACAATTATACATTACTAATTACATTACTTTATATATTTTTATATTTACTATAATTATTCAATTAATTATTGTAATTATAATAATATAACATAATTTTAATTATTAATTAATGTTTTTATTAATTGTCAAAAAGATTTTTATCAGATAAAATTTTTTTATTTGAATTTTTTGCAAGAATATTCTACAATATTGAAATTTTCTTTAAAGTATGTTGAAAAATTAAATAATCAAATAATATGCAAAATTTTTTAATAAATAATGCTGGTAAGTTTTTCTATTAATTAATCTGAATTATTTATCTAAAAAGACAATTTATGTATAATACTTGTACACTAGTTTGTCTAGTTGGAAATCAATAAGGTCCTGATCAGTTTTCTCTAGTCCAGGTTTTCCTAACTAGATTATGTTAGTTTTATAGTGAATTTTTCTAGTATAAATTATCTAACTAGAATTCGAAAGGGACTTGACTAGTTTTTCTAGACTAGAGGTTCTAGTCAGAATTTAGCGAGGGCCCTACAAGAGACAGGGACAAATAGGGAAATTTCTACACGGGAGTGGTTATATGTTGCTGGGAAAGCAAAGTAAAAGTGATAAAAATGTTAAGTAGCTATTTTAAAAATGTCATATAGTAAATGGGTCCTGAAATTTTAAATGCGTTTTTCTAAAAACTACATTTTTCAAAATTGCGTACACTGTAACTCGCTTAATTTTTGACGGATTCATTTGGAATTTTAACTGTAACTTCTTAGATAGATTATCTAGGGAAGTACATACGCTTTTTAAGATTCATAAATAATTGAGATTGTTATTAAGAATTTAAAGTCAATTTTTAGTTAAAGAATGAAAGAAAAATATTAAAACTGATGCCAATTTGCGAATTTTTCATAAAAATATACAATCATAGGTACTTCCCTAGCAAAAGTAAAAATAAAAATTTTTTATATACTTCTAAACGTGTATAATATAGGTTCAAAATTTTATTTAGATCCATAGAATAATTTCCAAGAAAAAAATTCACAAAAATCCGTTCATTTTGCAGTGCGCCTGGGTAGTATAACCCCTCAAACTTTATGCAAATTTTTCTAACATTTATTTATTAATCGCTTGAGAATACAGATATTAACCCTGTAAAAAAAGTATTGGGAGGTACGGGATTCCGAATTGCGAGTGCCAACCTGCTAATACAGAATTCGCGAAAAACCACATTGGGTGTCGTGGTGAATACGGAAATGAAGGGGTCCCAATGCGGTGCAAGTTTTAAGCTTTAAAAAAAGAAAATACGTGACAGAAGTAAATAATTAGTGTCAGTGTGAAAAAAGCGAGTTAAAGGAATGAGAAAATAATAATAGTGAGTGTAAAAATGAAACTTTAAGAAAAAAGGTAAGTTGAACTCTCAAATATGAGTTCAATGCGGCATAGGCTGGTTACAATGCGGCACACAATCAGTACATATTTCCAGTCGCCAGTAGAGGGCAGAAGCATACAGAGCATATTTGATAGTTCAACTTACCTCATTTTCTTAACGTTTTATTTTTACACTCACTATTATTATTTTCTCATTCCTTTAACTCGTATTTTCTTACACTGGCACTTATTATTTACTCCTGTCACGTATTTTCTTTTTTTAAAGCTTAAAACTTGCACCGCATTGGAATCCCTTCATTTCCGTATTCACCACGACACCCAATGCGGTTTTTCGCGAATTCCGTATTGGCAGGTTGGCACTCGCAATACGGAATCCCGTACCTCCCAATACTTTTTTAAAGGGAAATATGAGAAAATTGAATTACCTTTTAACGCCGGGAAAAACACATTTTTTAAACAACATTTAAGGCCATCGTTCGTTACGATTTTGTGTATTAAATGATTTTTTTTAAATTACTAAACTTTGTTTTAAACTTTTTACTCGAAGGTTTTCCAAGTCGATGATTATGAATTTGACCTCATATTTAAAAACTTGTTTGATTTAAATTTTGAAAGAATGATGAAAACTTCAGAAGGAAAGGTACTTTTAAAATTTTTCCTGGCGTTAAAGGGTTAATATAATATATTTTATAGGTTGTGAAAATATTTAAAAAATTTAAATCACTTCATGCTACAAAAACCTGGTAATTACCTTTGGATAGACTTTCGAACATTTCTGTTATTATTATGCTCCATTTCAGTTGTCATAGAAGACAGTACTTCCTCGTTGACGTATAATGAGGACGAATTTAAGCTTGGAACAGGTGGAGGAGGTGGTAAAGTAAGAGGTGGAGATGGAGATCCCAAAGTTCCTTGAGGAGACATAAGACCATTACTACTGCCTATGCTGCCTAACCTTCCGACTCCATTTTGTAAACTATGAGAAATTATAGAGCTGGTGTGATTATTGTTTCTAACTGGTGTTGGATCTAGATAATTAGGCTCTGTTGGTACTGGCGCTCGATTTATGGAAGGTCCAGAGAGTGAGGCATTCTGTATTTCTCTGGATATTGTATCTTCATTACTGTTACAGGCCTAAATTTTTAAAATATAATAAATATAACAAACATTTACTAGATTTAGTTCATAAGACCGACAGATTAGCTCAATCGGATAAATGCCTCGCTCGGCGGACGCTGTAGAACCAAGGGGACTTGGTTCGCGCCATTAGCCTGGGATTTTTCCGGCACATGAGATAATCTGAGCGGGAGATTTGAACGTCGAGGACTTGTTTATGTTATATTCGAAACTTCGAATTTAAACATCCAAGACTCGGCGTCGATTAATCTAGGGAAATTTGGAGAATGCAAGGGGTTGTCATATATGTAAAAACCCAAATGTGGTATACATAAAGAACAAAAAAATTTTTTTTAATTTGGCAGGTGTACTTCATATGCCAAAATTTCCCTAACTTTGTCAAGTACAAGTTCCCAAAATTGTGCCGGTTTTTCAAGCCAACTGTGACATGCAGTGTTAAGGAGGTGTTAAGCTAACGACTAGCTTAACTTTAACCAGCTTCACCAAAATTTACAAAAATTTTGGTCTATTAGTTTACAAGACTTCGCATGACAAAGTCAAATAAAATTTTTATTATGAAAAAAGTTTTGTATTATGGAAATTACACTACCGGTCAAAATAGAGGGACCACCTATTTTAATGTGAATAAAAGACATTTTAAAACTTAAAATTTATGGAAACTAAAATTATTTTCTTTTTATTTTTTGAAAGATGTTAAAATTTTGAAAAGAACAAGATACTTCAGAAGTCATTTTTCAAGAAAATTCAATAAAAAATGTATGTTTGAATTTAAAAAAATATTTTTCTGATAATAAGATTGTTTTAAATTTTTTGCATATTTTTGGTCCAACTTTTACGACCTGCATTTTCTAAGAAAATAATTACACATTAATTTCTACAAGTAATTCTCATTCTGTTGAAAATATCCTTTAAAATAGCTTAAGATCATTAAAAAGCGTTCATTATTTTAGAAGTTATTCAAATTTTTGTAAAACATTAAAAATTATGATTTTTTAAAAATATCTAAATAAAATATTGTCCAAATGACTTCTGAAAGATCTTGTTCTTTTCAAAATTTTATCATCATTCAAAAAATAAAAAAAATGTTAGTTTTAATAAATTGTTTGTTTTAAAATGTTTTTCATTCACCTGAAAATGAGTGGTCTCTTAATTTTGACAGGTGCTTAATAATTTTCTTTAAACTCATAAAAAATAGATTTGCAGTAAGAATTGTATGGAATATGCTCCATCAAAGAAAATTAACTGCGTTTAACAAAAATGAAAAATCAGAATTGACCTTTGAGCTTCTTGCGGGGTTACAGCAAGGTGCGGTAAATTCACTGGTGCTATTTAATATATATGTCGTAGGCCGATAAAAAAATCAGGCCATTAGCTAAATGCCTAGTCTATTTGCTAATAGCCGGCTAGTAGACAAAGGCATAGGCCAGTAGCCGAATAACTTGCTGGATAGCTACTAGCCTGATAATTTTTAGTCCATTTAAAGAATTCGGGTAGCAAAATCCAAGTCGCTACCAAAGTACAGATCTGATGCAGACCTGTTATTCTAGATCTGGAACGGATCTGGAATTTTACATGGTCCAAAGCAGAAGCAGACTTGGTTACCAATTAAACAGCTCTATCTATATGCAGGTACCAAAAGTACTAAACCAATTGCACAAATAATGAAAAGTCGGTAAGGTGAAACCGATTGAGCCCTTGAACAGGTAAGAAAACAAAGATAGCGACGTACATAAGTATGTTAAGAGAAAACCGAAATTTTAACTTTGTATTGCTATAAATTTCTCTTTACTATTTTAATTATCATTCTCTATATTTGAATTAGTTAAAAATAACTAATTTTCAGAAAAGCATATCTGATTGTCAGTTAAAAATAACATATTTTAGTACACTTATTTAACTTATTCAATTATAATTAAATAAGAATTATTAATTAAGCTTAATGAGATTAATTAGTGAGTAGCTCTTAATATTAATTTTTTCATTATATACTATAAAATAATATACCGAATATTTATTCATAATAATAATAATTTGTAATACACTGAAAGATTGATAAAATTTGACCAATTTTTTAGTTGTTTTTTACTGATAACCATTAATTTTGTCATTGACAATAAGTTAATTTTAACTGATTGCAGAAGTAAAATGTCAGTCATTTATTGTTAGTTAACCCAGTGATTTTTAACTGATTCAAATTTAGAGAGCACAATTAAAATATAATTGTTCTTGTCGTTTCACGAATATTTATATTTTATATTTTGTGACCCTTATAGTACAAAGCATTTCCTTCTGCATGCTTTTTAAAATTATTTTATTAAACAGCTGGTTACTTAATGTATCTATTGGACTTAATTCAGATTTATAATTGTTTAACCTAATATTAGAAAATATTTACTCGGAAACAAATCCCTGTATTTACAATAAATTCTATAATTATTATTCTACACAAGTAATATAGGCTTACAAATTAAAAACCGAGAAATCTGAAAATGTACTATATAAACAACTTTTTGGAATTTCCCAAACGTAGCATGAGCGCGTAAAGTAACCCTGAACCGCAGGGGTTCTAACTATCTTTTCTTTCGGGTTTCAGTAAGTGAGAGAGAGAAAGAGAGTCTATTTGCTCTGCTTTTTGAATGCAATTTTTCTCTAAGCCCAGATTCTCAGACCTCCGAGATGGTCGAGCGGTTAAAGCGTTTTATCTTGCGTCCCCTACGTCATCAAAACCTGCGTTGCGATATATAGTTAGGTGCTCGAATCCCTGCGTTTAGGAATTTTCTTAATATAATTATAAGCTACGACTTTAATAAAAAAATGAAATACTGTGTTTAGAAGTGTGTATTTAAGTACATAGTTCTTCCAGCTTAAAATGAAAAAAACATTGAAAAAATTATAAAATAAACAATTTAAAACATTTAAATTTAACTTAAATTTTGCTTTTTGTAATTTATTTTAAAACAACCTTATTCATTTGAAAAATGCCTATTCTATTAATTGCAAAAGATAAAAATATTATTATTGTATTTAAATTAAATATATTTTCAACTAAAAACACAAATTTTACAAAAAGCAAAGCTGTTATAATAAACAGCAAAGCAATGACCAGAAAAAAGCAAGAACCCACGCTAGGTACTGTCGAACGCCTTGTTACCATACGAACAACAGAGAAAATCAAATCTGGTTATATACACGTTTCAGACATGTTCCGCGTTCCAAACCTGCTTTGGCACAGACTTGGTTACCAGATATGGCCCAGATCTAACCAGATCAGTTCCAGATCTGATCCAGAATTCAATGGCTACCCGGGAAACAATATATACACGGAGAGAAAAATCAATCGTTTATAGCATGAATGCTTTGTATTTTAAAAGTATGAAATGTTAGTATACTATGACTGCAAGAAAGTATACTGCGATTGCAAGAATCCTATGCTTTTTCGGTATTAGACCCTTGCAACTGGCTATTAGGCCACGCCCAGAGCCTGGGCCGACCAATCACATTGCAGAAAACTTTTACCGAAATCGCATAGGTTTCTTGCAATCGTAGTATGAAGAACTTCATGCTAAAAAGCCCAGATATTTCTCTCCGTGTAGGTAATGATAATTTAACGATTTCACATCTTAATTTCTAATTTTATTTTACAATTTTTATTATCACGCGCATTTCACTTCCGATTTTAAAAAGTTCGTACAATTTTAAATAGTAATATTGATCTCATTTTGAGTTTTTGTGATCACATTGCATAAGAGATGTTAAGATGCACATTTAACTTATGCATTTTATTCCACACAGCGTGTTTCCACATTGCGTGTTGCATTTTTTTATAAGAGCTAAATAGATTAGCTTCAAATTCATCACGAATAACAATATTTTAGGTCATATATATTGTGACTGAATGAAACAAAATTTATTTGAGAACTGAAACATATTTTAAAAATTGTTCTCTTTGGGACATGTAAGAATAATATCTACCTTCTTTCCTCATTTGACAATTACAAATATTTAAATAAATTAACGAATGTTGAATTATAATATAAAGTGTTTCTTTTAACGGACTAAAGTATTTTTTTAACTCTTTAAGGCTTCAAAAAACACCTCCTAAAGTATTCATAACCAATTGTAAAAAATAAAAGTAAATTTTTCAAAAAGTATTCAATAAATATAAAGAGCTATTGACAAATTAAGTAAGTCCTTAAGGGGATGGTGGGGTCCAACTTTTTGTTACGACCAGTAAAAACATTCGTGCTAATGTATGTAACAGTGTCTGACATAAAAGAAGTGGAGGGGTTTCAATTTGCAAAAGAATTATTAGGTAATTTATGGATAATAGGTAACAGGTATAATAGATCGTTTTGTTTGTTAGCATGTCCTGTGTGTGAATTCACCAGAAAATAGTCAAAAAATTAAAAAAAACTTTTTTGCAGACTAGAGAAATAGTGAAAAACATAGTGTATTTCCTAGTAAAAAAAGCAGGATTGGAAGAGAGCGAATAGTATTGGCGGTGAGTTTATGCCAATACGTTTTCGCGTTAAAACCGTATTGGGGGCATTCTGACAATCCTGCTTTTTCACCGTCAATTCTGTCCTCTTGAATCTTTCGATTTCACGTTTATTGACTCGACTTGAGTGTGTATTGTTGATCTATTACCACATGATTTAGGGAGCTTTCGACGTAGGGAGCTGTGAGTAGAAGTCACAGCGCTAATCTAGAAAATACCCTAAATCATATGGTAATAGACCAGCAGTTTGTCACATTTCATTTATTTACATTTTAACAAAATTTTATATTTCCTGTTCGTTATCAGCATTTTTACACATTAAATCAATCAGTCTTTTTGATTAAAATGCCAAATCGAGTCAATAAATGTGAAATCGAAAGATTCAAGAGGACAGAATTGACGGTGAAAAAGCAGGATTGGCAGAATGCCCCCAATACGGTTATCACGCGAAAACTTATTGGCAGAAACTCACCGCCAATACTATTCGCTCTCTTCCAAT